GGTGGCTGCCCTAGCTCCCCCCTTGCCATGGCTAAGGGCAATATGGGTGGAGTTGCTCTAAAAGTCAAACATCACCTCCAGATTGGGCTTTTCCTTCATTGGCGGACTGTAGAGAGAATTTAGAGGCTGTTATGTGTGCTTTAGTGTCTTTTTCTAATGATAAAAAAGATAAATGCAGAAATAAAATGGAAATGGTTTCCTTTTCATTGAATGAATGAATTCATTCTGATCATGTGAAAAAACAAAACAAAAACAAAAAAGACTGAGAAGCTTCTTAACCAAAAAAAAAGACAAATTTTTGAATCTGAAATTAATTCCCTGTAAATGCATATACCAATTTACAATTCACTCCTAACAATCTCAACAAACACCCTCTCCCTCGATAAGCAAATCTAAAGAAAAAAAAAACGAAGAATGGCATAAACTCATGAACAATATACTCACCCAAATTCAAATATGAAATAAAAACTAATAATTGCTAATATGTCACATAACTAGAACTGGTATAACCACGTCTCGATCGGCCACGGCATCAATGGAGCTTACTAGAACTAGCGGAAGAGCCCCGGTTGCCGTCCTCCGGCGAAGCCTTTTTCTTGATGAACTCGATGCAATCGGCTACAGCCTCGCTGTGGTGAGGGTCATCATGCGGACAATAATACCGCGGCGCATCTGGGCTGGATCGGCCAGCGTGGCTTGTGGACTTGTTGGATGAGACAGCAGACAGCATGATCAAACGGAAAACCGCCTCGCGAAACCGCTCGAGCAGAGTCACCGGAGACAGGCGTTTGGTTTTGTTGCTGCACGAGTTGACGTTGCTTCTCATCCTGGGAATGCATAGATGGGTTTTCATAATTTTTGCTTTTAGACTTTCTCAAGGTTTTGGTGTCGTTTTGAACTATGAGAATATGAGAGAGCGGTCAAGTGTTGCTCTATATTTTTATATGAGAATCTAATTGCGTTGCATGGGACGACAACTCAGATTTATATCTATACAAGTTTGCTTTTTGGTTGGGTTTTAATACTACGCTAATCACTTGTTTGAATCTGCTGTATAATGTTTTTCATGATACGACCGGATCGTCTTTACAAAGGTTACTCAAATCGATAAGTGTTTTCTTTGAAGTCGGTAAATTGAAAAGAATTTAGTTATCTAGTTTTGTAATAAAATAAATAAATGAACACGATGTATCCAATAAATGACAACAATATTTACAATCATAATTAAATGTCTAACGATTTTTAATTTCGGAGAAATTTTATAGGAATGATGCTTGAATGAAGACTAAGCTCAAATGAGTTATTAGCACTATATGTATTAAATTACTAAGTCGTTAGTTTGGTTACATATTTTATATTAAAATTGAAGTAGACTTCATAGCCATGCATGCATGATGCATGTTACTAGTATAAATCTTTTTGTCTTCATCGCTGCTAGGCTTCACATGGCTACATGTGCATGGTTGTATAATTTTCAATCAAACTATAGCTAATGTATGGTTCCTATTGGATTCCGCCGACTTACCGGCCTGGAAAAATGAAAGAAAATTCTATTGTTTTTATGTGTGCCCTAATGTATTTGTTCCACGAATTTGTCGGATGGGGGATGAATTACAAATACAGAATTGGGCATGTGAGAGAGATGGGGCAAACTAACTACGCTACGTGGGGGTCAATCTCCCCACCATGCTTCGAATTGGACTTGCTGTCGGTCTGTTTGTTTGCTCATATATTAAGGGAGCCATCATTTAATTAATTAGGGTCCTCAATGGGGTCGTCCCGGGCCATTTCGGGTCTATACAACCCGTTTTTTGGTTAGTTAGATTATGATCAGATCGAGATTTAGCTCATTGGGCTCAAGTAAGCTCATTTTGACCATCTGTTCAAAATGTGGACGAATATAGTGATATAACAAAACTATTTGTATCAAATCGATTTGCAATTTATTATGTCCTTTAACCATTTGAGCTACAAGCCCCTTAAATAATGAGAAATGAGGAATCGAACCTATAATCTCAAGAAAATGGAGAATCAAACTTAGAACCTCGGTGCATGGATAAATAGTTTTAACCATTTGAGCTACAAACTCCTTGCATAACTTGACTACTTATGCAAATGAAGATGTAATCAATGAATACGATTCATATGTCAATTATTCTGTTCATAGAGGTGATGGGTAATCATCCAACAAAAGAGATGGGTTTGTGGGTTTGTATGAACTTTAATTCGGCCTGTACTCATTGTAAACAGCACACAATGGCAATGCTTTTGTGGCCCATATAACAACGTGTTTACATAATTCATGTTGAGCTTAGGCCCAAGCCCGCCTTACAAATTTACAAAAATTTGAAGCAATTTCCTTATTTATTAGAAAAATGAGAGAACCCAAATAAAAGAAAAAAGTGATGCCTTAGCTCTGTCTGATTATTTCAATAAAAATGACTGTTAATGGAAACCCTTTTGCAGGCTTCATTTATCAACAACAAACATTCTTGAAATGAATATATTTACTTAATAATCTCTGCATAATCTGCCCATGAGAGTCTCAGGCTCTTGGAGACTCCCCACCCCCTTCTTGAATTGCCTTGTTTTTGGCAAAAAACCACCCAACCAGAGGCACCAATGGCTTCTTCTTGGTTTTCTTGACAGAAGGGTTTCCGACTCTCTCCCCCAAGTCTTCTTTGCTAACAATGACTTGGGCCAGTGTAGGAGGACTTGCAAATTTCACATATCTTTTCTTCTGCACCAATTCCTCTGCGTCTTGGCTCAACATGGTCTTGGTTTCAAACTTCGCGGCGCCATCCTCAATGAATTTAAGGTCTTCTTCTTCAATCTCAGGATCAACTGGGTCCTTCTGATCAAACTCTCTTGCCTTCAAGTACTTGTGCAGCTCTTTCTTTGCACGGTCAAGATCATCTCTTAGTGACTTTATGCAGTATGCCATTATCTTGTTTTCTTCTCTAACTTTCTGAAGATTTCGCTTTGTTTCTTCAAGCTCAGCTTCCAAGACCCCAATCGTTGATTGAGCAGAAGCAGCATGCCCTGCAGCTCCAATCTAACATAGAAATTGAACATTAACACTAGAAAAAAATGAAGTAAAATGGTATTGTGGTAGGAGCTATAGCTAACCTCTTTGAGCTTGTTGCTGCTTCCTTGACTGATTTGAAAGGTGCTCTGGTGTCAATCTCTGCTCGGCCCATGACCACCAATTTGCCTTCCTCTGTGTTCATCGTGCTCAATCAACGCAAGGAAAGGGAAGAAGATATTAATGGTGGAATTAATGAGGAAAGGTCCTTTTAATACAAGTTTCAAAATGGGGAGCTGCAACAGGAGGTCGTTGGAAATGGATGGTGTGGTTCTAGCTTTGCTTAGAGGAAGTTAAGGAAAAAAAATCATGGGGGGATTTTTGTTTTGGTTTCCTTGGCGTCCACTTCACTGAATTTTGTTAATTGAAGTTGACAAGAGTGGTTGGACTATCTTGATCACTTTGTTATTTCTTGGCTTCTTGTTAGAGTTTGGGCTGCTTCCCTCCGTTACCAATGTGGGTTAAACAAATCAATAAGTATTAAGAGCCAAGTAATTGATAGATCACAAATATATACCGCCAATTATTAGGTGTGATGTGAAGTCTCATGGTACTGCTTTGTCACTTCTTATGGGTTAAGAGATATGGATTATGTTTGAAGACATAAATGAAGCAATTGTTATGAGTTATCTGATAAATGTGGTTATCCCTAAACTTACATGTATTCCATGTATGTAGAAGAATGACTCTTGTGAGCTATTCATGTAACAATTCATTAAATGCCTTATTTATTTATTTATTTATTTATTTTAAACAGCTTTGAAAAGCAATTGAGAGCCTCATTTTAAAAGCTGTTATTAAAATAATTGGAATATTTTATTTTTACTAAACACTTTAAACTACTTAACTTTAAGGTAAAGCAGGTTTTTGGCTTCAAAAAGTAATCCCAAATAGGGCCTTAGTTTGACAACCTTGTAGACGACGAGTTTTTCAATGCCATAAAATTGCCATGTGATATTATCAATTCAGTTATGCTATATACAAATATATATGTATTAATATTATATCTTCAAATATAAAAATGTCTCCTTCACATGTTTATAATTTGAGTGAATTAATAACACTAAACTAAATATCTTTACTACCAATTTGGAAATTTAGAAATATGGGAAGTAATAAATTGATTTGAAAAGTCATTCTCATTAAACTGTTTACCAATCATATAGAATCATAATAGGAATGAAGTGTATTCCAATTATTACTATTTTTACTAATTCTCATGAACCGAAATCTAAACTATGACTTTTAAAATGGGACCTACATTTGTTTGATTCCTTATGTGTTAATAAACGTGAAAAAAATAACTGATTGAAATAATTGCATTTATTCTCATACCCATTCCTAATAAGTGACAGTGTTACGTTCAAACACAAAAACTTCAATGGTTGTACACGACACTTCCTATTTTTTCTACCCTTTTTCTCTCTCCAGCCACAATGAAGATTAGGCCGTGTTTGGCATGCCTCACTATGCTTCACTGGACTGGGTTGGGTTAAATAGTACTTGAAACCCATGTTTGGTAAGGGAGATGATTAACTTAAATACAAATTTATAAATAAACCAAATCCTAGACATGTATTTAAAAAAAAAAAACTCAAACACTATTTAAACATATAAACACACCCAAAATCAACCTCAAAATCAACAATTGTATATTTTTTTGGTGTGTTTATAAATGGATTTTGAGTGTGTGTAATGATGGGTTTTGGGTGTGTTTATAAAATGTTTTGGGTGTTGAGTTTTTTTATAATTTCAGCCCCCATTTTGGGTGTTTTAGTGAAACTCCCTAACTTAAATGGGATTGCATAGTTCAATGGGGAAAAAACATCAGACTAGCTTGTGTAATACAGTGAGCCCAAAACGTGGTTCGCAAAATAACGAGGGTGTTATTTTGAACACACGAGTCTGGTTGGATACCACCACCACCATCAAACACACGAGCTCGACCATCACCACCACAAGTCCCCAACCACCACCACCACCACGAGTTCATGACCATTTGACCACCATCATCAAATCCATAACCAACCAGCACAAATCCACTTATAGGTTGATGGTTTGATTGGGTCTGCCTCTAGTCTAGTTGAGTGAACAACCATCCTCATCTCGGGGCGCTCTCAGCCTCCGTACCCCAACTTTGAAGAGAGCCATCCACTTCTGGTATGTGGTGAATGCAAAAAAAATTCAAAACAAAACAAAATTCCAAATGAAATCTTAAATAGTGTGGCATAAAGATAGTGAAAATGAGGGAAGGAAGAACAAAAGAGAAAGGAAAGAATATGAAGAAAGAAAGAAAAAAAAAAGAAACGGGTGGGAAGGAAAGGAAGAAGAAAAGACAAAGTAGAGAAGAGGAAGAAAGAAAAAAAAGGACACAAGTTTTAGCCTTTAAAAAATATTAGAATTTATTTATTTATAGGTCAAAATCTGTAATTAAATTTAAATATTAGAATTTTATTTGTTTTATTTGTATTTATTTTCAGGTCAAAATCCTTAATTAAAATTAAATATTAATATATATTTTTTTAGTCGATGTAACACCAAACGTAAGTCAGTACTTTAATACAGCTAAGACCAAACTGAGGAACTAATCCAAGACAGTTCCAGAATTTAGTCAATTCCATCGTACCAAACGATCCCTAGGTGTGAGCGATGAGCAGATGCTGGGTACAAATATAACTTCTCTCCCGGCCTTTTATCTCAATAGCAGGTCCCTAAACCCTAAACCCTTTGCAAATAAAATCAGCCCAATAACTCAATATCAGGTCCCTAAATTAAATTTGGGCCTCTAACGGTTTCAGAGTCCGTTAAACCACTCTATAAAACGGCTTTCGTCCCTGCAAACTCCTCAACGCAATTCCCCCCAATCTCGAGTCCTCGAGGACACGATGAGAGAGAAACATAGAACACTGTCAGCGTAAATAACATAACATACAGAGAAATTACAAGACCATTTCCCGAGCATCACTCGAAAAAACCCTAATTTCCAACATTGAAATTCAATTTCTCCTCCGTTTTATCCGTACGATATCTTCCATTTTAGACCAACAGCAGTAAGTAGGAGAGCTCCGGTTGCTTGGAGTGCTTCTTGAAGTAGAAGAAGAGGACGCTGCAGAGTCGCGCCGGGAGCACTTTAATCTGAGCAACCAGAGTCTTTGAAATTTGGTTTCGAAGCTGTGCGTTTCGTGTTTTTCGCGGCAAAGCTAGGGTTTTTTGGTTGCTTTCTGCTTGTTCTACTAAGCCATGAGTCCGGTTCAGAATTTCGAGCAACACGCTCGGCGTCTCGTCGAGATTGACCTCCGTACTTTTTCTCTCTCACTCTCTCTGAAGCATAATTCAACTATGGTTTTGAACTCTTAAACCTCCCTTTAGCTTCTGAGCAAAAGTTATATAATTTTGATAAAATTTAATCAAACGAGCCCTTAATATGAGAATCATATTCATCTTCCTGTGCAAAATTTTAATTTATTTTCCAGTAATGCAGGTCCTATTGAACCAAGCATGTCCTCTGTATTCACACCCAATAGTATAACAAAACAAAACAGCTCAATTTTGATTTGATTAATTATTGATTTAACTACGTTTGAACGAAGGTCTTGACGATGTTCTTGTTTCTTTTGTTCCTTCTTTTTTGGAACAGCAATTCAGGCAAGGCTTCAGATGGCAATGGAGGTTCGGGACAGCCTAGAGATTGCGCACACTGCCGAGTACTTGAATTTCCTAAGATGCTACTTTCATGCATTCTCAGTGATTCTTCAGAAAATTACAAAACCACAGTTCACGGATAATCCCGAACACAAGCTCCGAAACATCGTGGTGGAGATTCTCAATCGTCTCCCCCACAGTGAAGTACTCCGTCCTTTTGTCCAGGAACTCTTGAAGGTCGCAATGCAAGTACTAACCACTGACAACGAAGAGAATGGCTTAATATGTATCCGTATTATCTTTGACCTCCTTAGGAACTTCAGGCCCACTCTGGAAAATGAAGTTCAGCCATTCTTGGACTTTGTTTGTAAAGTTTACCAAAACTTTAAGTTGACGGTTAACCATTTCTTTGAAAATGGGGCGGTGGGTGGGGAAGATATCAAGCCTATCGATACTTCTTTAGATCAACCATTGAGTGGTAGTATCGGCAGTATCGGTGGTGGTGGAATTGGGGGTGGCGGTATTGGTGGTAGTGGGTATGCTGGTGGTGGGCAGCTTAACCCCAGTACACGTTCTTTCAAAATTATAAACGAGAGTCCCCTGGTGGTCATGTTTTTATTTCAGTTGTATAGTCGACTTGTGCAGACCAATATTCCTCACCTGTTGCCTTTGATGGTTGCTGCTATATCTGTTCCTGGCCCTGAAAAGGTTCCGCTTCATTTGAAGACTCATTTCATTGAGTTGAAGGGTGCACAGGTGAAGGTAAGCAGGTGTTTCTGTTGAGTTTATATGTATTAAATGTTACACGAGCAGGGCACTGTTGTTTGTTACACTTGTTTAATCATTTAATTTTTTTGTCCAACCCGTCCAGGTTTTTTCATGAGTTTTTACTAATTTGTTTCTTTTCCATTGCAGACAGTTTCTTTTTTAACGTATCTTTTGAAGAGCTTTGCTGATTATATCAGACCGCATGAAGAAAGCATATGTAAAAGCATAGTCAGTTTGCTAGTTACATGTTCAGACTCTGTATCAACTAGAAAGGTAAAAATTCTTGTCTCTTAGTTTATTTTTCTCCGCTTGGATCTTTTTATTCTTCCGTGAATGTAAGTCTGAATCATAAATATTTTATGAATACAGGAATTGTTAGTAGCCCTAAAACATGTTCTTGGAACGGATTTCAAGAGGGGTTTATTTCCTCTGATTGACACACTATTGGAGGAAAGGTAACACTGTTGACTCAATCATATGGTGACCTCTAATTGCCAAACAATGATACAGAAAGTTCATTGTCAAGTTGAGTTGGATAAATGCAATATCTTTATATAATGGAGGAAAGATATTCTTATTAGTAGTCTTAAAACATGTTCTTGGAACAGATTTCAAGAGGGGTTTATTTATTCTGTTATGTATTCATGGTTAAACAAAAGCATCATTTTGAAGAGATGTATATAAAACTGCTGCTAATGGACAGATGAATACCAAAATTTGACACGTAATGTAGATAATAGAATTACTCTTTTAATTTTATGGGATCCTTTGCCCCCACCTAAACGATCCTTCTGCTGGAAAGTTCATGTTGGTCGCCATCAGATTGAAATATTTTTTTGGCCGACATGTTGAATTTTAGAT